TGTCTGTGATTACAAAACTAAATATAAGAATGTCATCAAACAGCACCGACTGAAACATAAAGATCCTTCACAGGTCCAGATGTACAGGTGTAATGCCTGCGATTTCGAAACTAAATACAAGACATGTATCAAACGGCATCAACTGAAACATAAAGATAAGCTGTACTCAGTGTGATTATGAATACAAGTATAGGAGTGATATAAATTATCACATGTTGAAGCATAGAGAGTCTAAACGAGTGCAAATGTTGTGATGAGTATCAGAGCTGGGAAATTACTTGTAATTTACAAATAGTTACAATTACAAATTACTTTTTTAAAAAAAGGAACTAATTACAATTACAAAGTATATTCTTTAAAAAAGGAATTATATTAATTTAATTACAGTTACATGGAAAATGGATTTAGCAATTACTTTTCTAATTACTTTTATGATAAAGTAAATTATAGTGACCAAACAGAGAAAAAGGAAAAAGTTAAGTTAAAAATTTAAATTAAAAGTGTTGTGTAATATTGCGTTTTATTATTTATTAGAATTGATACTAAAATGAAAAGATTATTCTTATTCATTTTCTGATATAGAATTTTTATATTTTTATTCCTAATCTAATAATTTAAACTAGTTCAGTTCATACTATAATTTTATATTATTGGTCAGGTAATTAATTCAACCCGATGCTCTTTTTTTTGGTTGTTAGTACATTTGCAAAATATAGAATACAGTAGTTTTGGGTAGACTGGAAAGCAATAATTATTATTAAAAAAATTACGAATCGAACAAGTACGAGTGAAAGGCTGAGTAACCGAACCAGAAGTTTTCTCAACTCAAAATAAGAGCAGTAACACATAGATACATAATATATATTTTTATAAAACTTGATGCTATAGACAACATATTTTTACTTCGTATATTTTCTAAATTAATAATAATTATAATAAAATAAAATGTACTCTGTTAATTCTGAGGTTAATTCAAATCACTTATTATTGTTCACGCGGCACAAGGCTTTCCTCAACTGAAATAATAGAAGTCTGCAAGTCTGTACGCAATTACGCAATACGCATGATCTTAAAAGTAATTATAATTAATAGAAAAAGTAATTGTAATTGGAAAAAGTATTTGTACTTATAGAAGTAATTTGTAATTCGATAGTTCAAATAATATAATTACAAATTACAATTTCTATAACAATTTTTACTGCAATTACAATTCCAAATTACTTTAATAAAAAAAAGTACTTAAATACAATTACAATTACAGGAAAAAAAAGGGAATTGTAATTGCTAATTACTTTTTCACCAGGAATTACCCAGCTCTGATGAGTATATATGAGCATGCAGTGTTTGTGAATATGACTCGATGCACGCCCTTTACTTACTTGCGGAATTTCTTCGACCCTTTCCAAAATTTGTACTCCAGCTAAATAATTCTAGCCGTACGTTGTCAAAGATTTAATGTCTCTCCACATTAGCAAATGTTTTGTGATTTGTAATTCTTCAATTAGGAAATCTTACAGCATATGTTCGAACAGTAGCACAACAATTTCCATCACAATATCCCAAAACTAGTAACATATCAGTTTGTTCAGCAAAAGTATAAATTGCAGCAATAGTAAGGAAAATATTAAAAAAACAAAGTAAGCTAAAATTAAATGACATCTAGCTTGACGCTGAACCGTTCTGATTACTGTTATGAATTTGTTTCTTTGTTATATGGCACCTCGTACTAAACTAATCTAATTATCTGAAGCTGATTTTATATTACTTAATGTGTAAAAAATGTTGGACAGACAAATTCGTAGGTCTAATATAATTATATATAATGTTAAGGAATCACAACAAAGAATTCGTATGGAAAGAAATAATGAAAGTACTAAAGTGGTAAACGATATTCTTAGGGATGTTGATGTGAACAAGAATAATATAAAAGTATTTCGTTTGGGAAAGTACGACTCACATAAAAATCGTCCATAGGTGTTCTAAAGGCTAAGAAAAATATTAAAGTTCCTGGGATTAAAATATATGGTGATCAGACGAAGGCGCAGAGAGAGTATTACATGTATATTAAGAAAAAACTAGAAGAAATTATTTCTAAGTCGAACAACAAGTGATGTATTAAATGTTGAACTAAATATTGCAAATTATAAAGTTATACGTCGTGTTTCTTCGAGCAGGCATAATGTGGTTAATTTGTTAAAAGTAAAGAAAAAGAGGTACTATTTTGAAAAAATTGACAGACATATCAGTAATCCTAAACTTATGTGGAAGACTATTAAAGATTTAGTCAATAGTAATGAAAATGTTAAAATCGATTATGTACAATTTGAGTTTGGAGACCATACTATTACATGTAATAATGAAGTTAGTTTAGCTAAAAACTTTAATGTACCTATATTTTATAAATAGTATTGAAGATATAGCTTTAAGTATTGGAAATATAGGTACTACATGGCAGAACATAAACTACAATTTGTATCCTGGTATTTGTAAATTTAAATTGTTTACTATGTCTGAATTAATCATTCTTGTTAAAGGTTTAGAAAATAAGTGTAGTGTTAATGATATTATAAATTCTAGATTATTAAAACATATTGTGAATTCTGTAGGTCATGTAATTTTAAATTTTATTAACGTATCCCTAGAATATGGGAAATTTCCTAACAAATTAAAAACAAGTACTATTATTCCAATACCAAAAGTTCCTAACACAACAAGAGCATGCGAGTTTAGACCAATAAATACTTTACCATCTCTTGAAAAAGTTTTGGAATTAGCAGTTTACAATCAGCTATTAGAGTACTTGGAAATGAATAATATTTTATTTAGTAACCATCAGGTTTTCGTAGAAAATATTCATGTGAAACGGCTTTGCAACTTTCGTTAACGAAATTTAAATACAACATTGATAATAATATATTTACGGTAGCTGTATTTCTCGATTTAAAGAGAGCATTTGAGACCATTGACAGGAATATCCTACTTAAAATGTTGCAAGGTTATGGAGTTGATGGTACTGTTCTTGATTGGTAACAGAATATTTGACTGACAGAGCACAGCGAGTAAGAATTGGTGGATCAGTATCTGACACATGTATTAATAATCTTGGTGTGTTCCTCAAGGCAGTGTGCTTGGGCCTTTATTATTTCTTATCTACATAAACGATATTACACTATTTGTCAATTCTGAATTTATTAATTTATTTGCAGATGATACTCTTTTAGCATGTAGCGGTCATAGTTTAACTCCGTGTATAAATACTATGAACGAAACCTTGAAGTGTGTTAATAAATACCTGCAAGTTAACAAATTAAAATCAAATGCCAATAAAACAAAAGCTATGATAATCACAACCAAATATAGGTATAATAATATTGACATTAATGGTTGTCATTTAACTATCGATAATGAAAATATTGAATTTGTCACTGAAATTAAATATCTTGGTTTCTTGCTTGACAATACACTCTGTTTTAATACTCATTTTAAATATGTTTATAATAAAATATCTAAGAAACTATTCTTCTTTTCAAGAATTTGTGGTCATTTAACTATGCAATGTAGAGTTACAGTATACAATACTATAATTAGACCACATTTTGAGTACTGTCCATCGGTACTTAGTATGCTTAATTTGAATAAGATATCACAGTTGCAGAAGTTACAGTGCCGAGACATGAGAATTATATTAAGATGTAATAAATATACTCCATTGATTTTATACTATCTGCTCTTCAGTGGTTTTCTGTTAAAAATCGATTATACTACTGTACAATGGTTTTTATATATAAGCTTATAAATAATTTGTTACCTGATTATTTTAACCAGTATATTATAAAAGGAATCATGAAATTCATGACTACTTTACTAGAGGTGTCGATAACTTCTATATTTATTATTGTCATACAACGAATTGTCTATTTAATGAAGGGGTTGTTAATTTCAATAGATTACCAGTAAAGTTAAAAAGATGCCAGTCACTTGTTGCATTTAAAAGAGAGCTTGTTAAATACATAAAAGTAAATAATATGTGTTAATTGATCCTTAGTTTGTCTATCCTCTTAATGTGTGCTTGAATTTATTTTTAAATTTAAATTGATTTGTGTATATTAGGATATCCTATTTAATAAACAATTATTATTATTATTAAAAATGCCAATTTTACTCAAAATCCATAAACGATATCAAAATTTTGTAAGCGGTAAAAAATCTTCTAAAATAGTGCTTATTTTAAAAAATACAAATTCTGTCGTGTGCTGGCGTACACAAAAAAGTTAAGGGATAGACAGTGCCGCACAGGCACTAGAATAAGAACATCCTGTATATGGATTCTCAACAAATTCTATATTTATATTGGACTTATACAAGAAAATATGTGTACCAAATTGGAAGTTTCCAAGAAAAACAATTTTCAAATTAACTGAAAAAAAAACTAGGTTATCTGTTCTATATTTAGAAGTTTATATTTCTTTTGTATATAGGTAAGTTATGCTAAATAGTCTTATTTTCATCCAAGAAACCTGTGGTCAAGCGTTGTCCATCCTTTTCAGGGACACCCTGTATAATATATAGTTACAATTTGCTTCAGATCGAAATTCGGCGACTCGTTGATGACGTCTTCTGCTGATAGAACAAATTTTCAAATGCAAAATACATTATAGTTGCTACTTGGTTTCAAGTAAATTGGAAACTGCATTTAATACAGACAATGCAACTGTAATAGTTATACGCAAAGAGAATTCAAGAACAAAAAACAAGTTTTTCAGATGTCAACCAACGTTTCGAAGAACTAGTTGGTGCTGGTACAAGAAAACTTGTTACATCAATTTATTTCGGCAATTCATAATCATACAGCAAAAGAATTTTAGACGGGACTTTATCATTCTTGTTGTTCCGTTAACATAAGAGGAAGAAGAAGAGCAGTAATTCTATTCGATGTTTTCATCGAGGTTAAATAACACAGGTTACGGTTTTATATCTATATTTCAACGAAAATTGTTGCAATGACTGATGTTCAAGAAACTTCGTGCAAGCTTTGCCTCAAAACTGTAACCGTTGAAGGTTTTGAGGTAATAAACGACGTTATTAGAGATATTTTAGATGTTCTTTTGCTGAAATTGGTAAGTCAGTGATAGATATGCATTAGTTCGGGGTCGCTGATATGTATGGAAACGGTCGGTTGTCTCCTAAAGTAAGATAGCTATAAAAAAATCATAACACGTTTTTTTAAAGCTATTGCTATAAAGGAAAGTTGAAACGAAACAAAGTTGCTTCTTCTTTATGGGAATACCCTGTATATTATTCCGTATTTTAATTCTTCTCGAAATTCTAAACAAAAATCGTATAGCACATCATGTACCTAAACTTAATCGTTCTTGAGATATCGAAGTTTGAAAATCATTTTCTTATAAATTATTACACATTAATATTTTACTGCATCAAGTTATCTTTGAAAGTTTCCACCTCCATAACAACGCCGCGTCGTTCTTTTGTCTAATAGTGGTTATCTTGACAACACATGTCAAAAATACATCTAGTGTGAATAATTTTCTCGCAAAATGGCACGTTTATGTGAACCCGAGCGTATTGGAGTTAAAATTACCTTACCATTTAAAATACGACCACTAAATGTTAACCGGAGAAAACTATCACCCAGTATAACGATTTGACTAAAGCTTTAAGAAATAATACGCCGTAGTAGTCCAAATAAATGTGCCAATTTTTAACGCCATCGGTAAAAGGGTTATCAAGTTATTAATTAAATTAGTTTTATTTTTGACAACCGAAGGCATGTAACACTAAAACCAAAAATTTTTTATTTAAATTTTTTTCATAGATTGTATTTATTTATGGCGTGGATATCAGTCAGACGTTGTCGGTGAAATTTGCGGACACCATGTCGTAAAAAATTCGTATTTTATTTCGTGTAGCCTTTTTACAAAAACGTTAAAACACGTCAATTAGTATACAGGGTGTGAAAAAAGTTCATACAAATGTAGGACGAAATATGGTTCGTTTCCGAGTGCTACGCTTAGTTATAATTTTTTTTGTTTAAAAAACTATTTGTACAAAATATATACACATATAAGAAAAAAAAACAAGGGAAAAGAAGTAAAAAAAGAATAAATAAAAAAAACGTAGAGGTAGTTTGGAAGCGTAAGTGCATAACAAAGGTGCCGACAAATCACTCAGCCTGAAGGGTGTAGGTTCAGTAAAATATTTTCAATACAGATATCAAAATCTAGGGCGCCACTAGCAATAAAACGCAACCCTGCNTAAAGGTTTTGAGGTAATAAACGACGTTATTAGAGATATTTTAGATGTTCTTTTGCTGAAATTGGTAAGTCAGTGATAGATATGCATTAGTTCGGGGTCGCTGATATGTATGGAAACGGTCGGTTGTCTCCTAAAGTAAGATAGCTATAAAAAAATCATAACACGTTTTTTTAAAGCTATTGCTATAAAGGAAAGTTGAAACGAAACAAAGTTGCTTCTTCTTTATGGGAATACCCTGTATATTATTCCGTATTTTAATTCTTCTCGAAATTCTAAACAAAAATCGTATAGCACATCATGTACCTAAACTTAATCGTTCTTGAGATATCGAAGTTTGAAAATCATTTTCTTATAAATTATTACACATTAATATTTTACTGCATCAAGTTATCTTTGAAAGTTTCCACCTCCATAACAACGCCGCGTCGTTCTTTTGTCTAATAGTGGTTATCTTGACAACACATGTCAAAAATACATCTAGTGTGAATAATTTTCTCGCAAAATGGCACGTTTATGTGAACCCGAGCGTATTGGAGTTAAAATTACCTTACCATTTAAAATACGACCACTAAATGTTAACCGGAGAAAACTATCACCCAGTATAACGATTTGACTAAAGCTTTAAGAAATAATACGCCGTAGTAGTCCAAATAAATGTGCCAATTTTTAACGCCATCGGTAAAAGGGTTATCAAGTTATTAATTAAATTAGTTTTATTTTTGACAACCGAAGGCATGTAACACTAAAACCAAAAATTTTTTATTTAAATTTTTTTCATAGATTGTATTTATTTATGGCGTGGATATCAGTCAGACGTTGTCGGTGAAATTTGCGGACACCCTGTCGTAAAAAGTTCGTATTTTATTTCATGTAGCCTTTTTACACAAACGTTAAAACACGTCAATTGTATACAGGGTGTGAAATAAGTTCATACAAACGTAGGACGAAATATGGTTCGTTTCCGAGATGCAGGGTATTTAAATTTTAATTATTTATTTATTTTTATTAATTATTTCAGCGTTTTAAAGGTATTGACTCGAAATTTGATGGTTGTACTTTATTTAGAAATCAAATCGTCAATAGAAATTAAAAATACACACAACTTGCAATAAAATATGTTTTACTTTTCCCTCGAAAACGGTGCAGCCTACGAAAAAAATTGAAGAGACCATTTTCATTCAGAATTGAAGGAATTCTAAAAAAATATCAAAAGGGAAAAGTCAGTAGCGTACCATTTTTTTTTATTAAAAAAAATGGTGGCATTCTCGCACGAATGCCACTGGTGCAAGTAGAAATATTCGGATCACCCCAAAAAATACTCATTTATCCCTCCAAAGTCCCTCTTCAAATTTCTGGTCAAAATCTTCAAAACTCGCTGAAAAAAAAAATAAAAAAAATAAATTTCAATAAAATTGAAACTGTATCTCGGAAACGAGGCATACATGTTTCAACCTACGTTTATATGACCTTTTTTTTTCACAAAACAACTTCGGCAACCACGCCCTAAAATATTTCGCACTTTTTTACAAACATCCTGTATAGGAATTGTCGTTTTCTCACGTTGCTTAAACCTTCTTTGCACAATGTTTCATAAACCTATGACATCATCGAAATTTTTTTTTAAATAGCACTACCTAATTTTTTAGGCATAAATGGATAGCCCTTTTAAAGGGATACGCTTCGATATAGGGTTCGGCCTACTTTGGGGCTATCCTTTTATGCCTAAAAAATTAGGTAGTACCATTTAAAAAATATGTCGTTGACGACATAGGTTTATGAAGTATTGTGCAAAAAAGGTTTAAGCAACGTGACAAAACGACAATTCCTATTTACTAATTGACGTATCTTAACATTTTTGTGAAAACGTAACAAAATAAAATACGAATCTTTTGCGATACTTCTGGGATGCGCTGTATATCTCAATTCGGACACCTCAACACATTAGAGCGACTTAACAATAATTGATATTTTTTGCCAAAGTTATTTTCTTTCTCTTTGGTTAAAGTTGCATATATTTCAGAAATTTGATAGCGAGGGTAAAGAGGTTATATGTAACGTTTGCAGAAGAAAATTAAATGCAGTATTCGAATTTAAGGCAACTTGTTTGAAGACCGATTACAGAATTATTCCATATGTGGATTGTGAAAAAATGTTACAGCTCGATATAAGGGACGTGTATACGAAGGAAAAGACAAGCCAGTCAATGGATATTTCAGATGGTCACAAAATATGTCGATTGTGTATGCATCCAGTAGAAAGTGAGTTTAGGTGCATTTGTGGAGAGGAACTTGAAGCTATCGAGAAATTGGCTCCTGAAATGGTACCAGTGATGTTAAATAGTTAATTTTTCGCAATTTAATGAAACTACTTTGCAGAATATAAATATCATCAAAGATCCCGTTGTGTGTAAGGAATGCTTTGATTCTGTGTGCACCCACAACAGTTTCCTAAAAAATTGCTCGGAAGTACAGGAAAAAATTGGAGGTATTTTTAATAGCGCAGCAACAGAAAGTCAGATAGATACGTCGCCGGTTGATTTATTCGTTAAGACTGAAAACGAGGACAAAGAATTCGATATCAACGGGACGGAAATGTCAATCAAAGCTGAAAGTATCGACATAAAATCGGAAGATGAAGAATGCAGGTAAGAGAAGACTATTTTAACAATAATATAAAAATTTAATTTAGCCTCTCTTGCATTAATTTCTTGTGTTTCTGAAGGTTTTCGCATAATTCATTATTTTTAACATATCAATAAAAATATTAATAATTGTCATCAATAATTTGATTTATATGATAATAAAACTGAACTAATGTCTTGTGGAGTTCAGAAACTTGCATAATTGCATTTTCAATAACCTATCACCCCCTAGAATTAACACCTTACATGGGAAAATACCATGTATATGTAATATTTTCAGCGACTCGCTACTGCAGAGCTCCGATAGTGAATCATTCGAGAAGAGCGTCCTTAGCGATGCAGAAGAGGATGAATGTACACATGAGAATAGATCGACAAACCAATGTAATACGAAAGTCAAGCAGAACCACAAAGTATTTTACAAATGTGATAAATGTATTTACAAAACTGGAAGCGAGAGCTGTTTTATAACACACCGTTCTGTAGACAAGGACGATTGGGAAGCATATAAATGTGAATCGTGTGAGTATCAAACTGAAAATAAAAAAAATTTTCAGGAACATCCATTGAGCCCTAAAGATCCTTCGGAAATGCGTATGCATCAATGCGGATCATGTGATTACAAGACAAGGCACAGGTGTGAGCTTGATAAGCGTCAGGTGAAACACAAAAGCGCATCTGAAGGACGATTTTACAAGTGCGACTTTTGTGATTTCACAACAAAGCATAAAGTCAGTTTTAATAGTCATTACATAAAACACAAAAACTCGACCAATCGTGTAGAATGTGACTATAAAACCGAATACACCGCATTACCGAATAAGGGCACTTTACAACTGCCCATTTATAAATGTAATGGTTGCACATACGAATCAAAGAATAATAGAAACTTTATCAGTCATCAGTTGGTACATAAAGATCCTTCGCAGGTGCAAATGTACAAATGTGACGACTGCAATTTCAAAACTAAATACAAGAGTTATATGAAAAGTCATCAACTGCAGCATAGAGATCCTTCCCAGGTACAATTGTACAGGTGTAACAACTGCGATTACGAAACTAAATACAAGTTTCATATGAAAAGTCACCAACTGAAACACAAAGATCTTTCGCAGGTTCAAACGTACAGGTGTAACGACTGCGATTTCAAAACTAAATACAAGAGTTATATCAAACGGCATCAACTGAAGCATAAAGATTCTTCTCAGGTGCAGATGTACAGGTGTAACGACTGCGATTTCGAAACTAAATACAAGTTTCATATGAAAAATCACCAACTGAAACACAAAGATCCTTCGCAGGTTCAAATGTACAGGTGTAACGACTGCTATTTCAAAACTAAATACAAGAGTTATATCAAACGGCATCAACTGAAGCATAAAGATCTTTCTCAGGTGCAGATGTACAGGTGTAATGACTGCGATTTCAAAACTAAATACAAGTGTGCTGTTAAAAAACACCAACTGACACATAGAGAAAGTGTACCGGCTGTGATTATGAATCCAAATGCCTGACATGCTGAAGCATAGAGAGCCTTCACAAGTACAAACATTTGGGTGAGTATGTATAAGCCAGCGTTGCCAGACTTCCAGAATTTTAGCCCAAAATTAAACGTCCCGCGTGGGACATTATCAGTCCCGCTTTTCGGTTATTACTCGATGGTGCGACCAGTAGTATAGTAAAGTAACATATTTTTATTAAAATACATTTTCTATGGCAATTTTGGCTATCTATCGTCATGTAAACTTAATCTGAAACTCAAATAAAAGCATAAGTAGTTAAAAACTATTGATTATATACGTTTTTTTTAGTATGTCCCGTTTTTTTACTCAAAAGATATCAAAATCCCTCTGCCCAAAAAAAAATCTGGCAACGCTGGGATGAGCATGCAAAGGTATGTCGCAATTTCAAATGCATCAATGTGATTCTGGAACCAGGCATAAGAAGTCTCTAAGGAGATATCTGTTGCTGCACAAAAAACATTTGTGGGTGTGAAGTACGGCCCATTGAAACGCAAAATCCAGTCAAAAATTGAGGTATTTAAGGGACCGACCTTATCATATGTGAATATAAAGTAGAATGTAAAGCCTGTCGTGAAAAACATCGGTTCAAACAAAAACTCTCGCTGAAACAGAAAGAGACAAGTGATATCGGACTAGTGCTTTTGTAACAATGCATTAAAATGAATACTTTGTAATATACACCTGCTTTTTCTATGTTTAAAAATATATATATTTCATTACCAATATTCAGAGTGAATGTTAAATGTGTACATGTGTATTCTAAACGACGAGAGAGTTTACTATGTAGAACATGCAGTTAATAGTTTTTTCTTCAAAAAAAAAAAAAGATAGAAACAAAATAAATATGCATTGTCTTAAAACTGTTGAGAACTACTGACTTCGCTGTGACTAGGCAGTGTTGCTGATGTCGTATAAACTTGTAAACTCAACTTTTTAATGAACTAAGGAGAAATGTCGAAAATTTTGAAATATCTTTAGAAAATGTTCAGTGTCCTCTTGCAATTCTGATGCATGGGTGATTTTTAGCAATATTATCTGTCCCGTTTTACACTTCTAGCTTAGAAACTTGGCGTTCGATTGTCTACATGATTTTCGAGACAAGCGTTGCGGTAAACCAGAAAGCAGTGCCTCAAAAATTATTGTGTACCTTGTAGTGGGAAGTTTTTTATTTTATTTAAATTGTATTTGTATAAAATCAGTTCACACTTCCAGCCTGATGTTCATTATTTGTCCTGTCCCAAATTAATTATTTTGTGTTGTCTTTATGAGTAGGAGTTGTAAACATGTGGATGGGAAGATTATGAGCGCTTTGACTTGAAGGACTGTTGGCTAAACGAATTTTGCAGTAACCACCTTTATTTTCCATGTTTAAATAAGTAATTTTTTTTGACCTCTTTAATTTTTATATGTACACATTTAAAATTAACCCTGCATCCTATGTAATTTATAATTTTCATTTGATTCTTCGTAATTTGTGTAGGGGGAACAGGGTTACAAGTGCAAAGAAACGTTATTGTACTAACACTGTTGCCTATTGTATTTAATTGGTATTATTTTAAGGCCTAATTATAAGTTTATATGTTTAGCTTTTATTGTGCCCTATTATATGGTTATACGATTATATATGTATGTAGCATTAAATGAATAAATACAATTTCAGTACATATGCACTATACTTAATCTGTTTAAAGGAACCCTTTACTTTTGTTTATTTTTACACAGTTTTTGTTCTTCTGTACATAAAAACCTGCAAGTTGATCTGAACCAAAATGTTAACTGTTCTAGAATCCTAGGAACTACATGCTAAAATCATGACGAGAATTAAATTTGTGGCGCCTTCATTCGGGTAAAAATAGTGCTAATAATATGATACTTGAGGAGGTGTATCAGGTTTAGTAAAATGCACAGGTGTACTTGAAATTTATATAGCGTATTACCCAGTGCTCTCTCTGTGCGTCATATTTTTTTGAATTTTATTTTGAATCTAGATTTTGAGATATTGTTGTTGACAGTTGTTCATTTTAACATGGGTTTATATGGCGAAGATGAACGGTGCGGCTCTTTTTTGCCCATAACTGAGAAAAAAATTCTAGAAATTGTGAAACAAAACTTTTCCATAGATAGTACACACGCAGCATTATCTTATTTTTGATGTAAAACTAATGTAAGTTTTGAACATAGTACAGCTGTATTAATTAGAAACAGAAACCAATAATTGCATTTCTGTCTGACTTGAGGATTAATGTGGCAACGTCGCAATCAGCTGACAGCAAGGAGGGAATACATTTGAAAGACTTGATAAAAACGAAATTGATTTCAAACATATACATTTTTTCTAAATCCCATGTACATTGTTATCAACAATAAATTATCCGGCACAACAGATGATTTTTTGTAATGTTTTTAAAAAACTTTACTTACACTTCCATTTTCATCAAAAACTCTATTAATAGTCGTAACTGTAAAAAAAAATAGTAACAATAATAATAATGATGTTTCCTTTATTACTAATTTGAATAATACTGATTCACAATATTCAAATAAATGTGTTTCGTAAATAAATCTTCAGTTAGTTTAATTTTCTGCAACACCCTGTATTCTATCACAACAAAAATTGGTATAGCAGGGTTTTAGATAGTCCTGAATAAGGATCCGTTGCAGTTTTTGTCGAAAAAAAATCGCTAATATTACTTCTCGTTTTTTCTTCCTATAAATTTCGCGTCTCAGTTGGCTATGGTTTAGATCACGAAAATAGGTACCGAAATTATACATTCTACTCCTTTTTCTGAGATCTATCAAACAAAAAAAAAAAGTTGAAACAAATGGGTCAACAAATAACAATTTTACATGGGTGGGTAATGCTTAACTCGGACACACGACTGTATGTAGTTCGCGACTTTCATTTAAATTCAAAATTATATTAAATTTGATAAGATCTGTGTTACAGTATACCTTTCGATTTGGCGAAAATAGTAGCTATCAGCACCTAATAGCAAGTTAGAGTTACTCTGAACTGATATTAGTTGCTAACAGTTACTATTTTTGGCAAAACGAAAGCCACCCAGGTTGCACGAACACACGGTTACACGATTTATCTTGCATTGTAAAAACCACATCACACAAAAAGCTATACACAATTATTCAATGATGTCTGGAGTCCAAGAAATCGTAATTATTTAAATATTTGAAAACAAAAATAATAATTTACTAATTTGATAATTGTTGACCACAAAACATACAGGGTGGTCCGAATTTTGTGCAGGAAACTTCGAGGGCAGATAGATCTCTTTAAAATAATAGGAGTTTGCCTTATAAACATAGGTCTGGAAAGGCACCGTTTTAGAGATACAGGGTGTTGAAGTTGTCAAAAAAATTTGATTTTTTGTTCATATCTCTGGAATCTATTAACCGATCTCAATAAAATTTGGTACATATAATGTATGATAGTAGGCCTTATATTCCCTGAAATATTAGCTTTAAAGGTTCAACCAGTGGTGTACAACTGGACAGGGGTCACCCCCTTTTTTACAAATAAAACCTACGNGTGGCGACATCTATAGACTCTTTCTCCAACTTGTATATCCATCTCAAGTCACGTGGTTCCCAGTTTCCCCATATTTTCAAGTATAAGTTCTCGGGCCCTGAGTAGTATATGCTCGAAGTATAGTATATACGGCCGTGTTCAGTCAGTGTTACCAGATCTCCTGTTTTAACAGGAGATCTCCTGTTTTCACTCTCACTCTCCTGTTCTACTGTTTTCACTATGAGATCTCCTGTTTTTAGTTTAAATGTCTATTCTTCTGGTTTCTCTATGAAACCTTCTGTTGATTATACTAATTTTCCCCTGAATAAGAATATTTTAGTACGACACTGTCAATATTTTCACAGTCCTGTTATATTTTCTGTAGCCCAGTTCATGTACATATTTAAATTTTAAATCCGCAATTCGTGTTTATATGAACTAGGCCTATTATAACAGAATAGAAGGCGAGTTCGTTTACTTCAGCGGGATTCTGGGATTTATCATTTTGACAACTGACAGTTGTCAAATCACGTGACGTAGCGATGTAGTTGAAAACTATTAAACCAACTCCTTCATTTATATATTTTGTGCATGTACTTGTGTTCCTCTATTAAAAAATATATTTATTAAAATCTCCTGTTGAAAAAAGAAATCTGTTTTTTTGGCTACATTTCTACTGTTGACAGAAATTTCCATCTGGCAACACTGGTTTTCATTGAGGTTAAACAATCGACACAAGTTACGGTTTTATATTTACATTTCAAAGAAAATTGTTGTAATGAGTGGTGTTCAAGAAACTTCGTGCAAGCTTTGCCTAAAAACTATAACCGTTGAAGGTTTTGAGGTAATAAACAACGTTATTAGGGATATTTTAGATATTCTTTTGCTGAAATTGGTAAGTCAATCATACATATTATTTTTTACTATTTCAATTGATTTTACTGCTGATATTTTCCGTCACAGTTACTGACTTTCTGGTTAAAGCTGCATATTTTTCAGAAATTTGATAGCGAGGGCAACGAGGTTATATGTAATGCCTGCAGAAGAAAATTATATGCGGCATTAGAATTTAAGTCAGCTTGTCTGAAGACCGATTACACAATTATTCCATATTTGGATTGTGAAAAAATGTTAGAGCTCGATATAAGAGATGTGTATACGAAGGAAAAGACAAGCGAGTCAATGGATATTTCAGATGGTCAGAAAATATGTCGATTGTGTATGGAGCCAGTAGAAAGTGAGGTTAGGTGCATACGTAAAGAGGAACTCGAAGCTATCGAGAAACTGGCTCCTGAATTGGTATGAACGATATTAAATACTTGCCTTTCTCAGAATTTAGAAAACTATACTTTGCAGATTATAAATATCATCAAAGATCCCGTTGTATGTAAGGAATGCTTTGAGTCTGTGTGCATCCACAACAGTTTCCTAAAAAATTGCTCAGACGTACAGGAAAAAACTAGAGGTATTTTTAATAGCGCAGCGGCAGAAAGTCAGATAGATACGTCGCCATCCGATTTATTCCTTAAGACTGAAAACCAGGACATAGAATTCGATATCAACGGGAGGGAAATGTCAATTAAAGCTGAAAGTATCGACATAAAATCGGAAGATGAGGAAAGGAGGTAAGATTTTAACAAAAATTTTACAAGGTAATTGTATAACTCCAGATCTTATTTAATTTTGCATCTCTTGCGTTAATTTCCTGTATTTCTGAGGATTTCCGCATAATTAATTATTTTTAACATATCTTCTATAAAAATATTACTAATTGTCATCAAGAATTTGATTGATGTGCTAATAAAACTGAAATAATGTCTTGTGGAGTTCGGAATCTTGCATAATTGCATTTGCAGCAACCTATGACCCCCTTAGAATTAACACCTCACTTGGGAAAATACCCTGTATATGTAATTTTTTCAGTGACTCGCTACTGCAGAGCTCCGATAGTGGATCATTCATGAAGAGTGTCCTTAGAGATGCAGAAGAGGATGGATGTAAACATGAGAATAGATTGACAAATGAATGTAATACGAAAGATAAGCAGGATGACAAAGTATTTTACAAATGTGATAAAGGTATTTACAAAACTGGAAGCGAGAGCCGTTTTATAGCACACCGTGCGAGACACGAGAACGGTTCGGAAACATATAAATATGAATCGTGTGAGTCCGAAACAGAAAATAACATTGTTCAGGAACATCAATTGGGACATAAAGATCCTTCGGAAATGCGTAAGCACCGATGCGGATCATATGATTACAAGACAAAGCACAAGTGTGAGCTTGCTAAGCACCAGGTGAAACACAAAAGCGCATCCGGAGGACGATTGTGTGAGTGTGACTTTTGTGATTTCACAACAAAGCGGAAAGTCAGTTTTAATATTCTTTATATAAAACACAAAAACTCAAACAATCGTGTAGAATGTGACCATAAAACCAAATACACCGCATTACCGAATAATGACACTTTACAACTGCCCATTTATAAATGTGATGACTGCACATACGAATCAAAGAATAAGGGAAACTTTACCACACATCAGTTGATACATAAAGATCCTTCGCAGATGCAAATGCACAAGTGTAAGGACTGCGTTTATAAAACTAAATACAAATCTAATATGAATAAACACCAACTGAAACACAAAGATCCTTTGCAGGTTCAAACGTACAGGTGCAATGACTGTGATTACAAAACTATATACAAGTGTTATATGAAAAAACACCAACTGAAACACAAAGTTCCTTTGCAGGTTGAAACATACAGGTGTAATGACTGCGGTTACAAAACTATACACAAGAGATATCTCAAATCGCATCAACTGAAACATAAAGATCCTTCTCAGGTTCAGATGTACAGGTGTAATTACTGCGATTTCAAAACTAAATACAAGCAATGTCTGCAGCCGCATCAACTGAAACATAAAAAAAAATTTCTACTTACATTATTTTTTCAAGAAATAAATAATCATTGGTTTTGAAATATCTTTATAAAAATGTTCAAAACCTCCTCCTAACTTTGCCATTCCCATGTAGAGGTAGTTTTTAGCAATACTATCTGTCCCCTTTTTCACTTCTATCTAAGAAACTCGGTATTCGATTGTCCACATGATGTTCGAGAGAAGCGCAACAGTAAACCAGAAAGCAGTGCATTGAAAATTATTATGTACCTGGTAGTGGAAAGTTCTTTATTTTATTTAAATTATATTTGTACAAAATCAATTCACACTTCCAGACTGATATTCATTATTTGTCCTGTCCTAAATTAATTATTTGTGTTGTCCTTATGAGTGGGAGTTGTGTACATGTGGATGGCAAGATTATGACGACTTTGGCTTGTTGGCTAAACGAATTTTACAGTAACCACCTTTATTTTCTATGTTTAAATAAGTGTTGATTTGATACACTAATTTTTTTGACCTCTTTAATTTTTATATGTACATATTTAAAATTAACCATGCGTCCTATGTAATTTATAATTTTCAGTTGATTCTTCGTAATTTGTGTATTTTGTTAGTATTATTTTAAGGCCTAAATATAATAAGTTTAAATCTTAGTTTAGCTTTTATTGTGCACTATTAAATGATTATATATGTAAGTAGCATCATTGTATAAGGAAATATAGTAATATAATACCCATGTAAATTTTGTTAACCAATAAAATGATACGAAAGATTGTATGGACATCTATGGTCTGTATCAGTTATTAATATTTCTGAAATTTGTGCTAAAGAACTCACTGTAGGTCTAGGCGGTCTCTACTGTACTGTTATTATACAAGGGGTATAGTAATTCGTGTCTACATGGCTCTAAGTAAGATTGGAAATTTGGAATACAAAAAATCGCCACTATGTAATGCATAAAAAACTGGTGTTGTTGATTCGGTGTTCTGTTTACTGTTTACATATTTAAAATAAATTAATAATGGCAGGAAATATATTATGTCAATATTATAAATGTGGAAAATCTAAAGGAAAATTTCCCAATATAATATTACATCGATTTCCATCGGGAAAATATGGTGGTAAAGAACGAGTTAAAAAATGGATAGAAAATTATGGTGAGTAAATAAATATGCATATACAGGGTGTCCTAAAATTATTGAAAAAATACTTTGAAAGTTAAGTATTTTATTTAAAAGTTTAATACAAAATTTTCAACTTCAAAAATTCTTAAAAAATTTTACAAATTTCATTGTCAAAATTGAGCAGTTTAATAAACAATTTTAAACTTAAATGATTTTTAAAAATTAATCACAATTACATACAAGTTTGCATTTTAATTTATGAATTATGTTCACCGATAAGGATATAGAGGAAAGGTGAAAATTAGAGTTTACACCCTCCGGAGAACATTTTCGTGGTCCATGTTCGGGGTCCTATTTCTTACGGCTCGGTCATTGTGATTACTAATTATATCAATAAAAAGCCAATGTGTCGATGAAAATGATTTTTCATGGGTTTGTACATTTTTACTGTCAAACCCATGTAAAAAGCTACCAGATTAACTTGGGTATGTCAAAAATATTATCAAGAATGTATATTATTATATTATATCTAATAATTTTATACTTACTAATTTCAAGTTTTCGTCACTCCAAAAAAAAAATAGTATTAGAAATTGACGTAGGTCTTGGCATTGTCCAGTAGTCTAGTATACAGGGTGTTAGTAAATAAGTGCAACAAATTTCAGGGGGTGATTCTACATGAGAAAATAATGGCAGTTTGCTTATAAGCGTATGTCCGCAAATGATTCGTTTTCAGAAATACGGGGTGTCAAGGTTTTTCTTAAAAATTGACGATTTAATTTATTGCTCTTAAACCGGTCGAGATATGCAAATGAAATTTGGTGGGTTTTAAGAGATAGTTATTACGCATTTTTTGACACGCAATTAAGAATTTTATGTTCATCATTGGAGAGCGTTCGGGTAATCTCCATTTTTTTAAAGAAAAAAATGGTACGTCACTGAGATATTACAAATTAAAAATCATTTTGGAGTTCCTCGTTCAATTTATGACAAAAAATCTGTCTTGCCTTTTCTTCGTATGGGGCGCCGTTTTGATGCAGAGAAATAAAACATCTTAACGCGTATTTTTTATTTCTTTAATACATTATCAAGAACTATCTAATACAATAACATTAAACCAGAACAATAACAGAAAATAACACTAATAAAATTTTGAAAAGGCGCAAAGCTGCAACAAATGTTCAAAATGACCTCCCTCAGACGTGACACAAGATACAACTCTTTGCCTCATTGATTGTCGTATTCGCGCAAATATTCCTGGTATATTTCTTATTGTCTCACAGCCGACTATAATTCGATTCCTCAGGTCATCAACATTTTCAATGGGAGTGGAATAAAGTAATGACTTAAGAAAACCCCAAATGCAAAAATCAAGAGGATTTAAATCCGGCGATCGAGCAGGCCAATGTTCCGTGCCTCCCCTACCTATCCAATGATTTGGATATACTGTGTCAAGTGATTACGTACATTAATGCTAAAATGGGCTGGTGCACCATCATGCATGTACCATAGGTGTTGTCTCAGCTGTAGAGAAATTTCTTCAAGAAGAACAGGTAACTCTTCCTGTAGGAAATTAAGATAAGATTTGCCTGTTAGTCGTGGGAGGAAACATGGACCGATTAAATGATCATCAATTACCCCAAGCCATCATACATTTACGGAAAACTGATGCTGAAAATGAGCTTCAAAGATTCCATGGGGGTTTTCCTCAGCCCATAAGTGATTGTTATGGAAATTTCGTATACACTGTCGTCCAAAAGTAGCCTCGTCAGTAAACAAAACGGCATTTAAAAAATTAGGAATTTGAGCGATTTGATGATTAATCCATTGGCAAAAAAATATGCGCGGAAAAAAGTCTAGGTAGTAGAGCTTGCACACGTTCAATATGAAACGGAGACAATTGCTGTTCTTTAAGAATTTTAAATACAGAGAAGTTGCTTACATTCAATATGTTGGCAATTTTTCGAGTACTTGTTTCAGGTGACTCCGCAATTAACTCGAGAACTGCTTCTTCTAGTTGCACAGTTCGTACTTCTCGAGGGCGCCCATTGTCAATCGTTTGTTTCTTAAATGAACCATTTTCGCGCAAACGAACGTTGATGAAGACGAGCAAATATTGTGTGATGAGGTACCCTACGTCCTGGATACAACTCAGCATACAAATCGTCAAGCTTGCCAATCATTTCCATTACTTCGACCATAGACAAAATGCACATCTGACAATTCCGCATTTATAAAATTTTCCATTCTTTTTGATAAAAGAAAAATTAATTACTTATTAACACTAATGTAATAGCAAACTAAAAGCTTAATAAATTAATAATGACGAAACGCTAATTTGACATTTCCTAAAAAATATTCGTATTTAACTGACAAAATGTTGAGAGTAGCATACGAAGAAAAGGCAAGATAGATTTTTCGTCACAAATTGAATTCAAAAATGATTTTTAATTTGTAATATCTCAGTGGCGTACCATTTTTTTCTTTAAAAAAATTGAGATTATTACCCGTACGCGCGCCAATGATGAACAAAAAATTCTTAATTTCGTGTCAAGAAATGCGCAATAACTACCTCTTAAAACCCACCAAATTTCATTTGCACATCTCGACCGGTTTCAGAGCAATAAATTAAATCGTCAGTTTTTAAGAAAAACTTTGACACCCCCGTATCTCGGAAAACGAATCATTTGCGGACATACGCTTATAAGCAAACTGCCATTATTTTCTCATGTAGAATCACCCTCTGAAATTTGTCGCACTTATTTACTAACGCCCTGTATAAAGACATATGATTCATTTTATCGCTGTAAATTACGCTGTAAGTTTTCTTTTAATGTTCTTAAATGAATACATGGTGATGTCTCTATCTAAATTAGTTTTGGTAATATAAGAGGTAGGTATATGCGAAAACGTATGGATGATATTCCAGGTACCATTATTAAAGCTCCTTGGTCTCGACTTGGTTGAACGGCCTTTATTGCACCTTGTAAATATGTCTCTGATGACAGGAACCTTCCCCAATGTTTTAAAACAATCTAAACTAATACCTGTTTACAAAAAAGGTAACGTGACTTCAGTAACTAATTATAGACCGATTGCTTTACAAAATCAGTTTGCAAAAATATTGGAGAAGGTTTTTTATAATCAGCTTTGTGATTTTTTTGGGTAAAAATAATATCAACACCATATCAACATGGATTTGTTAAAAACAAAAGTACACAGTCTGCTTTATATCAAAGTATAAAATTTCTTCAGGAATGCCTAGATAATAAATATAATACCTATATGGTGCTTTTTTCGACTTTAGTTCTGCATTGGTGGATCATATTTTATTTGTAAAATTGGAAAAGATTGGCATTAGGGGCATTGCTCTGAATTAGCACACAATCAAAAGTTTTACTGAATAACAGTGGGGTACCACAGGGCAGTTTTTTGGGCCCGGTATTATTTCATGTGACCCATGTCTGTAACAAATTAAACTCTTTAAGCTTCTTATTTAGACAACTAAGACCGGTAGTTGCTGATTCAACGCTTCTCTCATTATATTGTGGACATGTATATTCCTCACCATCTTTCGGGGTAACTTGTTGGGGAACGCTGTAACTGCAAATTTGGTCTTGATAGCGCAAAAAAATATCATTCGTATAATGGCACAGGTCCCGAGAAGATCTACATGCAAAAAACTATTTCTAAATATAATCTATTAACATTCCCTTCTATATACATATACTTCAGTGCATTATACGTAAAGAACAACATAAATGAATTTATACAACAAGAAGAAATTCGTATACATAACAAGGTACAAAGACGATCTGCGAATGCCACGGTGTAGGACAGATAAGTGTTTTAAAGGTATTCAGTCTATGTCTATTCGTATATTTAATAAACTACCAAAATATTTAAAAAATATAAATTCACAAAGTAAATTTAAACAGAAATTAAAAAAATTTCTCCTTCCTTGCGGGCCTTCTACTCGATTGGTGAATATTTTGATATTAATGTTTGTATTTAATTATTTTCTGTGGCGTATCCTATATTAAGAATTGTATGTTGTACAATGTCTTGATCTCTGGAATTAAATAAACAAAAAACAAAAATAAGATTAAATATAATTTCAGTACATATGCAATACAGTGTATTAATGTGTTTAAAGGAGCCATTTTCTTCTGTTTGCTTTTACATAGTCTTTGTTCTCCAATACATACATAAAAAACTGCAAACTGATCTGAACCAAAGTGATAACTGTTCTAGAATTCTACAGGCTAAAATCTAGAGAATTAAATTTGTGCCGCCATCTTTCGGGTAAAAACAGCACTAAATATGATACTTAAATATTACAGTACACTTTAAATTTATAGGCGGTCGCGCCACGCGCGCCATTATTCTATGGCTACATGCCCACAAAACCTTGACAGACTGACACTATCCCAGGAACCCATCTCCTGGAATCGACAAACACGATACCTGGGCGTGACGATGGACCAGCGTCTCACGTGGAAACCGCACATCGTGGAGACGGTGGCGCGAGCGAAGACCACCAGGGCTAGGCTCTATCCCTTACTCAAAGGTGGAAACACCCTCAGTTTAAGGAATAAGCGAACGCTTATCAAGGTGGTACTTCAACCGCAGCTAACCTACGCCTCCACGGCGTGGGGTCACGCGGCAAAAAGCCACTTAAAGTCATTACAGGCTGTGGAAAACATAGCCCTCCGCGCACGGCCACCGACGCGCCCTGGTACGTAAGAAACACTGACATATTACGAGACTTACAATACACAAACGCTACACAGACAATAAGACAAAACGCGGAGAAACGATTTGACGTAGCCGCTAGACATGACAATCCCCTCCTCAGGCAAGCCGTTGACTACGTACCCGACGTGACCGACAAACACAAAAGACCTAGACACCAACTTTTTGACCCTGGGTGACCACCCCAATGACCCCCCCCCTGCCCGCTAACCTTTTCTGTTTCAGAGACAGCCAGGATCAAGAAACGAAGACAACGACACACACACACACACACTACACACCCCCATACCCTCCTTAACCCTCCCCTCCCGCGCTAGCCTAAGGGCCACCTTAGCAAAGCGCATCCCAGGCTGCATAGCCGCACTACCCTACCCAACCATACCACACATAAACATGACACTACCCCCGGGGTTTACACAGACGAGCCGGCGAAGCAAGAAGAGCGCCAGAAGAAAGGGCCCTAGCCGGCGGGGCCCAGCCAGGACAAAAGGAGGTCCCACAAAGCGCCTACACCGGCCGCATTTGCGGTCGGGGTAGACGACGGATGGGGCCCACCTACGAAGGCTGTCCAGGCCTACACGAGATGAGGCAGGATAAAGAGGGATAATCCCCCTCGATCCCAAATCATTGAGGCCAATTTCTAGCCATAGAATAATGGCGCGTATGGCTACAAATTGCATTATTGCATTTTATTTGCATTATATTGCATTTTGTCCCGTTTCGCCGTCAATTAAAACAATATCCGTTAATTCTGGTCGGGAAATTTTGAACATTTGTATGACTGATGTAAAGTATAAACCACGGTAATAACAGCAGTATGAAAACCACGGTAATAATGAATACATAAGGATTTGATATATCAGTTGGTTCTGAGGAAGCAACATAGAAAACTTAAGATACGTTTTAATAAGCACTACACTACTACAGTCGTTCCGATACGCAAATGGTCCCGCATTCTTGATTGCCTATTTCCTTTTATAAAAAAGGTATAAAACAAATCTATTTTTATTCAAATACATCATCATTTTAAAACAAAGCTAAATAAGTAAACATAATGTGTAGTATCTAAATCTTTGATAAATATATCTTTTTCATCTTTAAAAATCAATCAATATTCACAGATTAAGATATGTTAATTTTTACTTTGTTGTCTACTAATTTTAAAGTAAACTTAATTGTGCATCCATTAATGTACAGGGTGTACCGTTCGAAATATTTGAGTAAATTCAACTTGGAGGTCACAATATTTGTCACGCGTTCTCAAACACTCTGTATGAATTTTTGCAAATTTGACATAAACTGGTTGAATTCCATTGCTTTTAAATTATCCCTGCCAAATTCCATTAATAAATAACACTTAATGTCAGAGTTATTCTATTTTCAAAAATCACTTACATCCCTCAATTTTCTTCGAAAATTAGTAATAACTTGAAAACTGTCACATTTTGGACCATAGTACCTTATATGAAATTAGTCCAGATTTTACCGTAGAATTAAAAAATGCAAAAATATACATATTGTTTTATTTGAAATAACAGAGTTGATGATAACTTCCAGTACAACCGGAAGTGCGAGAAAGTTGACACTATTTTCATTGAATAGATCTTTTTGATAAAGCTCTATATACAAATTTTCAGATTTCAATTTTGACTACTTATTGAGATACTCCTACTGGGCCCTCTTGGTGATACACCCTGTATATAGATACAATTTGCTTCAAATCGAAAAATCCGCATCTCGTTGATGACGTCATCTACTGATGGAACTAATTTTCAAATGCAAAATACATTATAGTTACTACTTTGTTTCAAGTAAATTGAAAACTACACTTAATACAGACAATGCAACCGTAATTATGTGCAAAGCGAATTCAAGAACAAAAATCCTTATAGGTTTTCCATAATTATGTAGTCCAACAGCGTCATGTTCTGAAGAACCATATTAGTGATGTGTACGAGCAAAATTGTTACGTCAATTTTTTCCAGCAATTCGTAATCATAGTGCAAGAATTATAGGCTATACTTTAACATTCTTGTTGTTCCGATAACAGAAGAGGAAGAAGAACAATGTCTATTCGATGTTTTCTTTGAGGTTAAACAACCAACACAAGTTACGGTTTGATATCTACATTTCAATGAAAATTGTTGCAATGACTGGTGTTCAAGAAACTTTGTGCAAGCTTTGCCTCAAAACTGTAACCGCTAAAGGTTTTGAGGTAATAGACAATGTTACTAGAGATACTTTAGATGTTCTTTTGCTGAAATTGGTAAGTCAGTGTTGGTTATTTATTACATAGTTCAGGGTCGCTGATATGTATGTAAACGGTTGATTATCTCCTAAAGTAAGATAGCTGTCGAAAAATCATAAGACACAAACGTTTTATAGTTTTTTAAAATCTATTACAATAAACAAAAATTAAGTATACAGGATCAGTCAAGAAGTTATGATGAAACAAAGTTGCTTTTCTTTATTGGAACACCCTGTATATTATTCCATATTTCAATTCTTCTCGAAATTCTAAACCAAAATTCATATAGTACATCATGTACCTAACCCTAACCGTTTTCGAGATATCAAACTTTGAAAATCATTTTTTTATAAATAATTGTACAAAAATATTTTAGTCCAAGTTACCTTTGGAAGTTTTTAGCTCCATAACAACGTCGCGTCGTTCTTTTGTCTAATAGTGATTATCTTGGCAACACATGTCAAAATGATATTCGTGATAATGTTCATTTCGAAGTTTAAACCGATATTCAGTATGCCTGAATTATACGGGAGCAGACGAAATTATCCATTTAAATTTATACATCTTTGACAGCGTTGCCAAATTTGTAAATTTTTCTTTCATAGTTCGATTTATCTCTCACTCTGCTAAAAAAAAGCTAAACCATATATCAGTCGATATATTGTACCGTTTTTGAGAAAATAGAATTTTATTAACAAGTTTACAAAATATATATATATATATATTTTTTCTGTCATATCTTTATAATGTGCTGACGGAATGGAATCAAATTTACTACAGCGTATTCACTTAATTAGACCTTTTATGGAATGTAATTTCATCCTTGTGGCTATAACCAGTGGCGTGCTACTGGCGTTTTTTTGTAGAAATAATGATACATTCAGGTACTGTTATGTTAAGTGAAAAATGTTTCATGTTGTTTTTTAGTAGTAGCAGCCGTTTAAATAAATATCAAACTAAATAATACCATGACTTTCTCTGAGGAGATTACAATTTTCCTCTATTTTTTTCCACAATTCGTCTCGTATTCATAAGCCCAAGATGGACTGCAGCTTCAGGAATAAATAAACAAATCTAATTATATTACTAAAACGAGATCATCGTAAAGATTACCGACCAATAATGCAGACAAAATAATGAATTTTTGCAGATGGATTTTAAACAAATATGAGTAGGTGGACTAAATTTGCGCATTATATTCGGCAAATAAATAAATTGTCTCCTAAACGGCTGCTACTATTAAAAAACGCCAAGAAACACTTTTCATTTATTTAACGTAACATTACCTAAGTTTAACGTTGTTTCTACAAAAAAAACACCATGACGTATTTTTTTCTTGAGGAAACGGAGCACAACCTTCAGTAACAGGCCACTGGTTAACCCTACGAGGTTAAAATTACATTCAATAAAAGGTCTAATTAAGTGAATACGTTGTAGTAAATTTCATTCAAATGGTTCAGCGCATTATGAAGATATGACACAAAATATAATTTCTTTTGGGAACTTGAACATCCTGTATCTCGAATACCACGCTCTCTCTAGCAAAAAAGTTTATAGACCAAACTCTACTTATTTTTGGCAACTAATCTGTTTCTGCAGTTTCTGTATTTAAAGTGAAATCACCCTGTATATCTCAATTAGCACACCTCAACACGTTACAGCGACTTAACAATAATTGATATTTTCCGCCAAAGTTATTTTCTTTCTCTTTGGTTAAAATTGCATATATTTCAGATATTTGATAGCGAGCGCAAAGAGGTTATATGTAACGTCTGCAGAAGAAAGTTAAACGCAGCATTCGAATTTAAATCAACTTGTCTGATGACCGATTACATAATTATTCCATATGTGGATTGTGAAAAAATGTTACAGCTCGATATAAGAGACGTGTATACGAAGGAAAAGACAAGCGAGTCAATGGATATTTCAGACGGTCATAAAATATGTCGATTGTGCATGCATCCAGTAGAAAGTGAGTTTAGGAGCATACGTGAAGAGGAACTTGAAGCTATCGAGAAATTGGCTCCTGAAATGGTATCAATGATATTAAATAGTTACATTTTTGGCAATTTAATGAAACTACTTTGCAGAATATAAATATCATCAAAGATCCCGTTGTATGTAAGGAATGCTTTGATTCTGTGTGCACCCACAACAGTTTCCTAAAAAATTGCTTGGAAGTACAGGAAAAAATTAGAGATATTTTTAATAGCGCAGCAACAGAAAGTTCAACAGATACATCACCAGCTGATTTATTCGTTAAGACTGAAAACCAGGACAAAGAATTCGATATTAACGAGATGGAAATGTCAATCAAAGCTGAAAGTATCGACATAAAATCCGAAGATGAAGAAAGGAGGTAAGAGAAGAGCACTTTAACAATAATTTAAAAGGCAACCGTATAAGTCCAGATCTTTGAAGTGTTCAGCGAATGGTCGGACCGGTCAAAGTGATTCAAGGGACAAGTATTTCATTGGTTAACCCAGTTAGCTGATTAGGAATATTGGGCAGGTTTTAAACTGTGCTTACAGTCGGATTCAGCGAATTGTTTGACTACTGACCGAACTAATCCAACCATTTGCGGAACACAGTCCTTATTTAATTTTGCATCTCTTGCATTAATTTCTTGTATTTCTAAAGGATTTCCCATAATTAATTATTTTTAACATATCTTCAATAAAAATATTACTAATTGTCGTCAAGAATTTGATTTATATGAAAATAAAACTGAAATAATGTCTTGTGGAGTTCAGAAACTTGCATAATTGCATTTGGATTAACATATAAACCCCTTAGAATTAACACCTCACTTTGGAAAATACCCTGTATATGTAATTTTTTCAGTGACTCGCTACTGCAGAGCTCCGATAGTGAATCATTCGAGAAGAGTGTCCATAGAAATACAGATGAAGATGGATGTAAACATGAGAATACATCGACAAACGAATGTAATACGAAAGTCAAGCAGGACGAGAAAGTATTTTACAAATGTGATAAATGTATTTACGAAACTGGAAGCGAGAGCCGTTTTATAGCACACTGTGCGAGACACGAGAACAATTTGGAAGCATATAAATGCGAATCGTGTGAGTATGAAACTGAAAATAAAAAATTTTTTCAGAAACACCAGTTGAGGCACAAATACCCTTCGGAAATGCGTATGGACCGATGCGGATCATGTGATTATAAGACGAAGCACAGGTGTGAGCTCACTAGGCATCAGGTAAAACACAAAAACGCATCTAAAGGACGATTGTACGAGTGTGACTTTTGTGATTTCAAAACAAAGCGGAAGGTCAGTTTTGATAGTCATTATATAAAACATAAAAACTCTAACAATTGTGTAGAATTACCGAATAAGGACACTTCACAACTGCCCATTTATAAATGTGATGGTTGCACATACGAATCAAAGAAGAAGAAAAACTTTACCAGACATCAGTTGATACATAAAGATCCTTCGCAGGTGCAAACGTACAGGTGTAAGGACTGCGATTACAAAAGTAAATACAAGGATCATATGAAAAAACACCAACTGAAACACAAAAATCTTTCACAGGTTCAAACGTACAAGTGTGACGACTGCGATTTCGAAACTAAATACAAGGGTGATATGAAAAAACACCAACTGAAACAAAAGGATCCTTCGCAGGTTCAAACGTACAGGTGTAAGGACTGCGATTACAAAACTAAATACAAGGGTGATATGAAAAAACACCAACTGAAACACAAGGATCCTTCGCAGGTTCAAACGTACAGGTGTAATGACTGTGATTTCGAAACTAAATACAAGAGTTGTATCAAACAGCATCAATTGCAGCATAGAGATCCTTCGCAGGTTCAAATGTACAAGTGTAATGACTGCAATTACGAAACTAAATACAAAGATGATATGAAACATCATCAACTGAAACACAAAGATCCTTCGCAGGTTCAAACGTACAGGTGTAATGACTGTGATTACAAAACTATATACAAGAGATATATCAAACATCACCAACTGAAACATAAAGATCCTTTGCAGGTTCAAATGTACACGTGTGAAGATTGCGATTATGAAACTAAATACAAGAGTTGTATCAAACAGCACCAACTGAAACATAAAGACCCTTTGGAGGTTCAAATGTACAAGTGTAACAACTGCGATTACGAAACTAAATACAACGGTAATTTCAAACAGCATCAACTGAAACATAAAGATCCTTCGCAGATTCAAACGTACAGGTGTAATGACTGTGATTACGAAACTAAATACAAAACTAATATGAAAAAGCACCAACTGAAACATAAAGATCTTTCACAGGTTCAAAAGTACAGGTGCAATGATTGTGATTTCGAAACTAAATACAAGGATGTCATGAAGAAACACCAACTAAAACACAAAGACCCTTCGCAGGCTCAAACATAATGACTGTGATTTTGAAACTAAATATAAAAGATATCAAGCGGCATCAACTGACACATAGAGAAGGTGTACCGACCGTGATTATGAATCCAAATGTAGGAGTAGTATAAAATATAACATGTTGAAGCATAGAGAGCCTTCACGAGAGTATGAGCATGCGAAGGTATGTCACAGATTCAAATGCAGTACGGCCCATCGAAGCGCAAAATCCAGTCAAAAATGGAGGCATTTAAGAGACTGACCATAGATATGTGAATATGAAGTAGAATGTAAAGCCTGTCGTGCAAAACATGCGTTCAAACACATGACTCTCATTGAAACAGCAAGAGACAAGTGATTTCGGACTAGTGCTTTTGTAACAATGCATTAAAATGCATATTTCGTAATATACACCTGCCTTTTCTATGTTTAAATATATATATTTTTCATCGCCAATGTTCAGAGTGAATCTTAAAAGTGTACATGTGTATTCTAAACGACGAGAGGGTTTACTATGTAGAACATGCAATTAACAGTTTTTTTTCTTCAAAAATAAATTAGGAACATAATAAATTGTAATAATACTAAACACTAAAATAAATATGCATTGTTTTTCTTAATAGAAAACTGTGGA